AAATCCACCCAAATGACCCCAAAGGTGGATTTTTTTCTTTCTAAATCTCTCTAAAAAGGACAAATGTCACTTGTTTTGCATCAATCTTGATACAGGTTACTTATTATATGTTATAGTTTGGATTCCTAAAGCTTTTAGTCTACTATCCCATCATTCAAGGGTGGTTTTCACCAGGGGCGGACTGGGACTACAAATCAGCCCGGGACTCTCGACCGGCCCACTTCGGTACCGCCAGCCTACCTCGGTACCGCAAGTATAATACCGCTAGTAAATTGTCAACTGGGGGATGGGGTGGGGGTGCTAGACTTATCCGACTTATCCGACCGGCCCACATCGTCCGACCGGCCCACTTCAGTACCGGCCCATCGGGATTCGTCCCGAACGTCCCGATGGCCAGTCCGCCCCTGGTTTTCACTATAAGTAATTTTTCTTCATTTGGACGGACACTATAATTTACATTTTATGACTATGTTCAATCTGAATTTACTTTAAAATAAAAACATTTTATATTGATTCTGACTTTTCTACATCCAACTCACAGGTGTATCATTGCTTTGAGAAAAAAGATTATTCATGTACCCCTTTTAGAAGTGAAGTTATAGTCATTTGTTCTGGGAATGTCATTTTTGAGACCTGGAAAACAGGCTCAGGGCTTAACAGGTTAAGCTAGGGTTAGGGTTAAAAAAAAAAAGGGACACTTAACATGGCAGATGATCCCGAATAATGTGTTTGTATTACCCAATGAAACTGACTGCATTTCAAAATGGACCAATAAGCATGATTATCCCAATCAAACGCAGTTAGGGTTAGGGTTTATACAAAAAGGACGCTTTATCTGGCAGATTATCACAAATAACGTGTTTGTAGTATTGTATAATGAAACTGACCACATTTCAAAATGGACACACTAACACAGAACAGACTTAATTCATCGTTACGGAAGAGAAAATGGAGCTAAATGAGCATGAATTGTGTTTGTTTTTCTTGTTAACTGATATACTGCCGCAATCTGAAGAAATAACTCCTATCAAATCTTTATGATAATTATCCTGTGAAACTACATTGGCCCTCTCGACACAGAGACTGCATCATTACGTACAGAAGAGCCCGGGGATACTCCACACCACCGGGCCTTAAGGATATCGTATCATTATTAGTACTCTGCTGAATTCAACAGTTCCAATTAATTGGCTTATTTCATTTAACAATGAACTTCATTGAAGGGAGAGAAAAAACGTTCGCCTCCAGAGTGTCCACCAATCTGAAGGTGGGGGTTCAATCCCCAGCCCTTGCCGTATATTTGGTCGAGATACTCAACCCAAAGTGTCTCCAATTCTTTTTCATGGCCAACATGTGTGAATGTAAGTTTCCCTGAGCAGGTGCACTTTGTATGGCACTTTCTTTTCTACCTCTGTATGAATGTGTTTGAATGGGTAAATGCCGACTTGTATTTGTAAAAGAGCTTTTAGATGTTGTAAATACTACAAAAGAGCTATATAAATGTGTATAAATGCCGTTCTTTTAACATTTAAATCACTGAGTTTCTCCTCTCAATGCAGTGCAGTGCAGCAAGTGACAGGTAAAAGAGGTGTTGTGGTGACCAGGTCGACTTACCCTTCCAGTGGAAAATGGGCCGGACATTGGCTTGGAGACAACTATTCGAGCTGGGACCAGCTTTTCAAATCTATTATAGGTACAAATATTGGATAAAACTTGATTCTCATAATTTTAACAAATATTATGGTAAGGTGATTACTTCACATATGCAAACTTGGCGAAGAAAAAGCCCTCTTTAACCTGACATGTATCCCCTTTTCCTTTGATCTACAGGCATGATGGAGTTCAGTCTCTTTGGCATCTCTTATGTAAGTATCATCATCTGATCTCGGTTTTGACAAGACATAATCTTATTGATGTGACCTTGTCCTCCCTAAGTAGATTCCAGCAGCCTGAGTGATGTTGTTTTGTTTGCTACACCCTTTGATCAAAGGACATCTCGGGATACAACGTGAAGCATGTCATTGCCCCCCTCCCCCAAACTAAGAGGCCTAATACAACTTATATAAAAAGTTATATTTTGCATGGTGTCCTGGCTTGCTCTGACTTTGCTTGTTTTCCCCGCTGTCTCTTTGTGTTTGTCTCTCCCTGACATGTTGTCCTTCTGACGTCTCCTCAGCACACCTAATAATAATTAAAATCTGACACCTCATCGATCCCTATATGGTAAATCATTTGCGTGCCCCGAGCCAATGCAGCCACAGGGTCAGATAGACAACATCGCTCACTCTCGCGGTGTCTTAGTCAAGGACACGTCAGAAACATGAGGCTTGCAACCAAAGTATGCTCTGGTTGGAGACTGCTCTTCATAGACCATGCACATTCACCCTGGTGTCCATCTCTCTGCCCATCTGTGTCACCTTTTAAACACTTGTACTGACATTTTGTCCCTGTTTTTCAGACCGGGGCAGACATATGTGGGTTCTTCAATGACGGAGAGTATGAGATGTGTATTCGCTGGATGCAGCTGGGTGCCTTCTATCCGTACTCACGCAACCACAACGGCAAGGGTTGGATTGTGAGTGAGTTCAAAACTTGAAAAAAAGCACTCGTATGAGATATACTGGGATAGGAGCAAAGATGTCTGCTCTTGTTTGCGTTAGCTTTTTCATGCTACATGCGTACTTGAACCAGTGTTCATTTCTTGTTTAATCTACGGAAGAGGATTAGGGCCACATTATTATTATTTTTGGGAGGATTTGAAAAAAATATGTTTTTTTTTTGTTCTGAAAAAAAAGGCAGAATTCTGACTTTTTTCTCAGAACAAAAAAAAAACTTTTTTTTTTACGGGTATTAGAAAAAATAAATAAAATTTGTTCTGAGAAAAAAGGCAGAATTCTGACTTTAATCTCAGAATTCTGACTTTTNAAAGATATGGAAAATGCACCCAAATGACCCCAGAAGTGGGTTTTTTCTAAATCTCTCTAAAAAGGTCAAATGTCACTTGTTTTGCATCAATCTTGATACTGTATCAAGATTGATGCAAAACAAGTGACATTTGACCTTTTTAGAGAGATTTAGAAAAAACCCACTTCTGGGGTCATTTGGGTGCATTTTCCATATCTTTGGCCCCCCTCTATCGATTTTGATGATTGACACCTCTTTTTAACCATTAGGGGGCTAATTCAGAGCCTTTGTTATTACCCTTTTGTTTCGTTTAGCTAAAAATTGTTAATATTGTCTGAAAGCTGAGTTTCTTCCCGTTAACTGGGNTGTGTGTGACACATTAATAGGTTTTTAAATGTTAAGAAGCCCTGAGACACAATTTCGTGAAAAACAACCGGGCGGCGGGCCTCCGGGTTGAACAGGTTAACCCTTGTACATTACAATTTGCTCATCCATCATCTGTGTTGGTTTATATGGACAAATGATCACTTACTCATAGGTGGGTTTGGTGTGGGACCAGCCATAGAGATTGTGGACGTCATAGTGAAGGACTCTTTTTCCATCGCTGAGTATCTGCTCGCTGTTCATGCACAGAGTCTTGTGGTTCAAACCACGATGTTTCGACTCCAGAGCTTTTGGAGACAAAACATATAGCTAAATACATAGAGCCCTTTAAAAGCATGCTCATATTGTTGATATCATTTTAGTACATTCATTTAATCAAACATGAGGGAAGTAAATATAATTTTGAGTGTCTTACGTGGCATATATGGAGGGTTCTCTAGGAGTGGGTTACCAAGACAGTTCTCTCCAACTGTACCGTGGACAAAACTGGCGGGCTCATTCATGTCCTAAAGATGAACAGAGACAATGAAATCAGGCAGAAATGATAGAGGGGATAACTCCACTTTATTAGTATGTCTTCTTTCAGGTCACTCACAATCCAGAGGCCGTCAAATTTTATATTTCCATAGAAATCCTTGATTTCTTGTAGCCACCACGCTGCGGTTGTTTTGCGGAAGAAGTCAGGGAATGTAGTATTCGCTCTGTAAATCTGTAAATGGGAAATACAATGCTGAGTACCCTCAAAGATCTCATGCATGTTAGGGCTGCTCGATTATGGCAAAAATCATAATCTCGATTATTTGGGTAAATAATTGTTATCACGATTATTAATTATTAAAAAACGATTATCCATTTACTTTGAAAACATCCATTTATTGAAAAAACGTGAACAGTATGTTTTTAACAGTTGATTACCCTCAACTTTAAGTATTATTCAACTGAAAAACCAAAAAAAAATAAAAAATCAATAATCGTTTTATTTCGATTATGTTGTTTTCATAATCGTTGCAAGCCAAAATCGTAATTGCGATTCAAATACGATTAATTGAGCAGCCCTAATGCGTGTTTATAAATACTCGGAGCTTGGAAGTGATGTATGTTAGTGGGTTGAATATGGAATACATTGTACCTCTACTTGGGTATCCCAGTCCAGAGATTCATCTACTGTGACATTGGGTCTATCTGGCCACACCTACAAACAGGACACATTACACCATCACACTCAAAAACATCACAAAGTCTGTTTCAATACAAGCTTACATATTTGTCCACTTATTTGTTGGGCCATAGTTTTCCTCTTACCTTCCCCCACACAATTTCATCACTGATGCTTTTGGGATATTTGATGAAGACATCCTGTGCTAGACCTCTGTCGAAAGCAGGGTAGTCGCCTCGAGGCTCATTGCCTGAGATGGCTGGATCCTGGAAAGAAACACAAAGCTATTCATATTTCTAATATTTCAATTTTTTTACTATGATACGCCTAGCATATTGGTTGAAAATAAAAAATGGAAATGGGGGATTCTCATAAATTCCTCTTTAATCTTAATCATTGCACACACATTGCCATTTATTACATTACCAGAATGAAGATGAACCTCATGCCTTCATCCCTCATCGTGTTCACCAGGGCAGGCAGTCCTTTAAACTCTGAGTCCAGAACAAAGTCCAGCTGACGCTCCATGTAGTCAATGTCTGCATACTGCACATCCTGCAGCAGGTACCAGAAAAAAGCTTATTGTGACAGTTGGTTTATTAAGGAATATCAGAACTGATATCAAAACAACACACAAGACGGTGTAAGGAACAATTGCTTCCTGTATTCAATTGACATCTTTTATATTTGGTGCTTTCAGTATGAACATATTCCACTGAACAAAAAACTTGTCCAACTTTTTCCTGCATATTTAGCTCCGGGAATAGCTGGTACACTATCTGAATGCAATTACAGTTGGAATAAATGAAATTACAAGCTACATTTCATTAAATATTTTTACACTACAATTCGTTTTTAATCTTAAAAATAAACCACCGTGTTTGTGGTAATGTTACACGCTGACTTTTTTCAATACTTGACAGATGTTCTTTGCATGTAAATGAGTGGCCAAAGAACCCTGAACCCCCCCACAGAGGTGCAGGTAGCCTGAATGTTTATGTTGTTACTGCTATGTCGCTCTGCTGGTCCGAAAAGGCAGACCTGGTGGGATGCTAAATATATAAAATGTGAATATTTGCCGTATTTAGTGTCCAGCACTTAGTGCCAGCACTTAGTCCCGCATGGAACTAAGTACAGATCGCGTTCACACCGGAATAAGTTCCCTGAGGGAAGATTACGCAAATGAAGCCGTTGATGTCACTTCTTCTTCTTCTGCTTTGGGTTTACTGGCAGGCCGCAAACAATTTCACGGCGTATACTGCCGCCCGGAGTCCCCGGAGTTGGGGACTGGCTTCAGTAGAAGCTGCTGCAGCCTTCCGAGTAAATTGCCAACCGCTCCCATGTTTTTTTTTGTGTTGCCATAAGTTATTCTCTCTCCGTTGGTGCGCGGGGCTAATGCTAATAATGCTAATGCCAACAAATACAATGGTGGCTTCACAAAACTTTTCAGAGTTTTACGGGCCGTGGTTTGCAATTCGCCCAGCCAATCGAAATTGTTACTTTTTTCTCCCCAGGAAAGTACCACCAGCAGGGACTGAAAAGGGGGGTAAAAGTTCTCGGAACTAAGTACCGTACTCTTTTTGGTGTGAACGCAAAATTCCAGGCATTATCGGAACCAAACGGGAAAAGTATGGGTAATAGTACTCCGATGTGAAAGCGCCTTATGTTGTTTTCAGGTCAGTGATATTTCCAATTCCATACTCATGTGCCCGCCCCGCCGATTTTTCATACCCAAGGCCCCCCCTCAGGAATCAAAAGCCCACCCACCGATTTAGTGCTGCTGTTGGGTCTTTTCCTACATAACATTTAAATCTGTCTTGACTTACTGTATATGAGGTTTTATTTGCTTCTGAATCTTATTTTTTTACAGTGAGAGCAAAACCTTTATAGGCTTTGATTGCCTCTGTATCACTGGCTGTTTAGGGTTGGTTGCTTTCATTCGAGTTAATGATACAGGATTCTTTTTGGCTGGCGTCAGCTCCTTGCCGGTTAGCTTTGTGAAGGCCTATTCAGGGAATCTCTTGATAATCAATTGATTTAGATGCTTGCTTATTCCCATGTTGGACATATGGACCTGGCCAAACCCAGCGCTCTCACAGATACTTATGAAGTTATTTGTATGTGAACCCAATATTTCACTGTCAGAAAGAATTGTTGGTTCTGCTACAAACTGGAAATGTCTACAGGCAGGGCAACCTATAATAGGATGGATTTAGCTCAGACTATCCCACTAAATGCCTTCATTATTTAACCTACAGCAGGAATAGGAAGGCAATACAATGAATCCTTGAGTTGAGACACTGAATGAATGGAATGAGTGTGTCGTCAAAATCAGGCAAACATACTGGGATAGGATGAACAGCATGTGGGCAGCATCTACCTATGGGGCAGTGATGACGTATTTGTTGTAGAACGACACAAACGTTAGCATCACAAGGCTCCCATGACAAAAAGCAATGGGATTTTCCATTGGATTTTTGAATTTAGCAGAAACACACAGTAATGATACTAATAAGTAATACTACACATATTGTTCTGCAGATCATCTCAACATATTAACAGAAGTAAAAAGCTAATGTTAAGCAATAAAGGAACAAGATCACGGCTACATGGCTGCGCATCACCACCGCTAAGCTAAAGGTGGCTAATGTTCGGCGGGATGACATTTAAAAGTCTCATTTACATGTTTTATGACATGTAGAAGCTTCTGATATTTTCGAATGGGGTATTTACTGATGTTTTCTATGTCGTAGGACACAACGTGAACATCTTTTGAGTTAGTGTTAACCACGTAGGAGGCTTTTTAACAAAAATACCTGAACTTACATAGGGTATGCCCGCTGCCCTCATGTCTCTGTAAAGATCTGCTATCTCCCGGTCATTGGCGTATCCATAGCGACAGAGCTGGAACCCAAGGGACCAGTAGGCAGGTAGAACAGGTCGTCCAATCAGCTGTTAAGAAGAACAACAAACAAGGAAGGAAGTCAAAACAGTTCAGCAAGAGTAAAAAAAAGTTGTTTTGCAGGAAAATGGGACGGTGTCCACAAAGTGTTTGTTTGGTCTGTGTGTGTGTGTGTGCGTGTGTGTGTTTAGATAGGGCTAAATGAGAGAGCGCAATGAAGCAAGGAACTCCCAGCTGCTGCAGTCCATCAACAGCGGCCCAGGGCCAGACACAAAATACACACACACACACACACACACACACACACACACACACACACACACACACACACACACACACACACACACACACACACAGTTAGACACAACAGAAATGACTTACCGCAGTGTACTCCTGCACCACCATTTCAGGCGTAGGTCCCAGGACCATGTAGAAATCAAGGATGCCGCCCACAGTGCGATAGGTTATGGATGGAGTTGGCTGGAAAGTCACATCTGGAGAAAAAGTTAGAAAGATATTTTGTAAACATCTAAATGAAGTTGTTGGTTTGTGTGTATTACTGTAAGAGTCTATGCTCAGTGACTGACAGGGTAGGAAAGGATGAACATGCCACAACAAAACTAAAACATCTTCTACGTAGAAGATGTTTTAGTTTTGTTGTGGCATGTTCATCCAAAAACATTGGCCTCTGAAATTATATGTTCTAAAAATGAAATAGTAAAATACAATAAATATATTATTTTGTATATCTTTTTTTTTTCTTTTTTTTATTCAGCACATTAAATCATTCTCGAGGGATATGAAGTTACTTAAAAAGCAAATGAAGACACAATCTTATAAAATAAATTAAAAGTATATATTTTTAAATAGATCTTTTTTTGTTTTTTATTCAGAGAATGAAGTTACTTTTGAGGGACATGAAAATAAAATCATATAGAAAGCCTTTAAAATAATACTTTTTTTACATGCATTTTAGTTTTGAAACGTTTTTTTTTATTCAGTACGAGAAAAAAGTTTCAGGGCACATAAAGATAAAATCGTATAAAATAAATGTATTTCCAATGTACAATATTTGTTTAATTTGTATTCAGTACATGAACTCACTTCAGAGGGACATTTTGGCAAAATAAAAAGCTCTGCTCATTATTTTGCCAAGTGAGAAATGTGTGTATGTATGTATACAAGTACATGTGTGTGTGTGTGTGTGTGTATGTGTGTGTGTGTGTGTGTGTGTGTGTGTGTGTGTGTGTGTGTGTGTGTGTGTGTGTGTGTGTGTGTGTGTGTGTGTGTGTTTGTGTGTGAAGTATGTTTATTTTCTTCATGTTTATTATGTATTACTGTTCAGTATGCAAATATGCAAAAGTGCTCATTACGCTGTGTTGGTCTTATATAAGGCTCCGTCAAAGGGACATGTAATCACAACATGGGAGATAGCCTCTCTCATTAACACATAATATGTAATTGAATGCCATTATGCATGCATGTGATACTGTTGGTTGCATTTGCATGTGGCATCTTCTGACTCATGTTTTTGTATGTGTGTTTCTCTCACCCATGGCATTGCTGTTGAGTAGCAGCACACCGTGAGCGTCAGCAGTGTCCTCCAGGCCCATGTAGAAGGGATGCACTCCGTAACAATTCATCTTGTACTGCAGCACAGAGACAGAGAGGGAGAGTGAAGGAGACGGGAGGGGTGAGTGAATGTTAGGTAATGAATTGGTCTGTTCTGCCGCTTGTACATATGTTTGCTTGTGCGCCACTTTGTTTATTCATGAGCATTTTTCTTTACACTTGACAGGGATTTTCTCATTGTGTATATATAGGAACGACAACTTGCTATAATGGGCTTGCTCAAAGTTCTGTCAAAGGCTTTTGCAAAAGTAGGGGGAAAAAAATATGCCTAAAACTATCCTCTATGCCAAGGTACACTGATTTAAACATTTATTCAAATATGTATACAAGTGTTAGAAATAGCACCCAATAGTAAGGACGATTTAAAAAAAGTTACTAATTACGATTATTTCGACTGATATTGAAACTGCAATATGATTCAGGATATTGTAGGGATTGATCAATTCCAAATAATAATTATCATTAAAAAATATATTATATTATGTTTTCTTTACAAGATCGGTAAATATATTTTTTATATAAATAAATATCTTAAATCTGTAGAATAACATTTGTAGGCCTGGATATATCTGCAGTTTGAGAATACATCAACATGGCATTTGAACACATATTTAGTGGACAATTATTGTACATCCTGCGATTTGAATATGGCACTAGTGTATACTGTATATAGATATATACAGTATATCAATGAAACATGTATTATGAATATCAACCAAGAGCGCTACACAATCCCAAAGATCCCTTTAGCCTGGATTTGAAGAGATCAACAGAGTATTGGGACATTAAATCAAAATCTAATCCTTAATTTAGCGCAAAAAGACCCAATACACATGCAAATGAAGAAGCGTTAATATGATTCTGATTTAAAATGACTTTAACCAACTTATTTGACTGCAAGCGGAGATCTATTTTTCCTTAATTTGTCAACGAAAATGTATCACGTTAAGTAAATGCATTGATATTCTACATCAGGGGTGTCCAAACTTTTTTCACGATGGCCATATACAGAAAAGATACGAAGGGCTGGGCCTCGCACTAGAGGTGAGGTGTATTGCCTCATAAGGTCAGTTATAAGTTAGAAACATTAATCAAATGTAGGTAAATTATGCTTGATACTTGAAAATGCCCTGAAGAAAAAAACACCCTATATCACAGCTCTCCAGAGGGTTTACTTTATTTTGTTGGCAGCTCATTCCTTACAACAGAAGCCTCTGTATAAGGGGAAATATGAAGGGTTTATTTCAAGCTTGTTAGGTAAATAAGTTATTGTCCTTTTTTTCTTATCAACTAAGATATGTTAGAAAATGTTTCCAACTTTAATTGACTGGATCTATTTGAAAAGTGGGCTTATAAACACATGAATACTAGTGTGTAATATATGTTTACATTCCATTTGTGGGCCATATTACAAAATACCTTTTGAATCTACTGAGGGCCGATTCAAAATGGTCCGGGAGCCGTAGTTTGGACACCCCTGATCTACATGCATACACTGCCGTGTCCTTTATGTGCATCTGTTACAATACTGTTCTCTGGGAGTAGAGCGAGGACTTTATGTTTCTCCTCTGTCTGTAAGTGTCCCTCTGTTGTCTTCAGTGTTAAAACGGGATGGAACTAGACAGAGCGGGCTATGAGGATCGCGGAGAAAGGTGGCGGGGGACAGGAAATCTGCCACTTTAAGATGTCACCGTCCTGTAGGAAAACTCATGGGGACGTCACACTCCATCAGCCTCCTGCTCTTCTGGTTCACAAGACGTTGTTAAACTGTAATGAAATGTCTATAAGGACTGCTTCTACCTCTGTGTCATCTCTTTCTGGACGATGAGGGCTTTTTTCTTTCGATGTGTGTGTCCTTGTGGCCTCGCTACATGGTGGGATAACTCAAAAAGCAGAAAAGTCATTAGCTCGTCCGCTAACAGAGAGTGACAGCTAGTGACAGTGTTCCCTCTGTGTCTGTGTTTCTCCACTTCACATTCTGCATACATTTGCATTTATTATAATAAGCCAACTACGGACGGCGGCATTTGAAATAAGCAATTTACTCGGTGCCTTATAAAATGTCATATTTATATTCCCCTTTATACGCTACACAAGCTGAATGCATACATCTCCTCCAGAGTACATTACAAAGTCCGTCCCTCAACTATCAAGTATTCAAACCACCTGTCCTTTTCATGTTGCTGCAGTTGTGTATCCTTGTGGCTGTGTCTCGGCTACATTTCAACAAAAAAGACCCCTGAGAGTACGATCAGATACTCTGCATTGAATATGTGTGACATTCAGTTTGTTAACATTCTGTAGAGTTTGTGTTCCTTTGAAGTGATCTCTTGTATGTATTTGCAGCTGTTGGTTGTTCATTAAAGCTACAAACAGCAGTGGTGGAGAGCTCTGGGAAATGGTGAATAATATATCCAAGCGTTATTGGGGCTGTAGCAGGACACAACATTTACAAACAAAAAATGTGGAATTTGTTTATGTTATTATTATATTTTATTGTTATTCTATTATTCTATATTGTGTATTCTATAGATACTCTATAGATATTTATCTTTTGACTGATTTGATATTTATACTTCTACTGTTTCTACTGTTGATTATTTTTGTATTTTATATATTTAAATGTTCATTCATTTAACTAATTGTTACTATAATAATTTTTGTTTTTATAATACTATGTATTACTATGTATTATTATTATTATTATTATTATTATTGTTGTTGGTGTTATTATTATTATTATTATTATTATTATTATTATTATTATTATTATTATTATTATTTATTATCCTGTCTCATATTTTTTATTATTTGTTAATGATTTTATTTGTGTCAATGTTTTTATTTTTCGTAATTTTATTATACATTTAAAGGGCATCAATTATATCTAGTACTTTTTAGCTAACCTAATTTTTTCGTGGCCAAATCCTATTTCAATTGTTCTCTTATCAGGTTTGATATCAATGTTTCAAAGACAGTCTCCATACAGAGTCCATGTCTGCATGTCAAGCTTTTTTTTTTTCGCTTATCAAACTTTTTTTCACCTACTTGCAATTGCCCTCTCCTGAGGGGGTCCCATAACATGTGTCTGAACCCCGTGGAGCTGTCTTGAGAGATTAGCAATTAACATTGATAATGCTGATGCATGTGGAAACCTCAACCTGTCTGGCCTTGACACCAGTCGGGAAAACATCATGACACTATATAACTGGCGCTCATATGAACGGCATCAAAGTGACACGAATGTGAGAAAGAGAAGTTTAAATACTGTGGAGGAAGGTTGTTTACTCTGCATTTTCTACAGGGTGATACATTAAAGACTGTATGCCATAACCAGTGTAAAATTGGTTTTGATGGATCATGCCAAGCTTTAAAAGAAGAGGAAAATATATATATATATATTTGCGGTTCCATGTCAAAATGTGTTGATGGGAATCATAAACAGTCGCCCGTTCACTGACAGGGATTATTTAAGATATGCAAATAATGCATACAATTTGCAGATGTTCCTTTAAGGCGGGATTTGGTTTGCAATGAAGATGTTTTTGTTGAACTCATCCAACACGGAAAGTATTGTAGATTATTGACCTGGGTTGAAAGTGGACTCGTTCAAGTTACAACTGGGTGAGGCCTCTGGAGGGAACTTTGTTATTTTAGCTTTTGCAAGCCTTTCACATGCAGTTAAACATACAGTATATAACACACTCAAGGGTAACCTCCATGAAGCATTATAGGCTGCTTTAATATCAAACCGCTTCACTTCAAATACATGACATGCTAGTAAACTAAACATCAACAAGTGTGAAATCTGATCAATACTATATGCGTATGTGCATGAGTGTGGTTTAACGTGATACTTACACCGGGAGGCTGGTCTTTGGCGAACATTCCCCAGGTGTGATAGTTGAGGTTGTGTCTGTAGGTGGCGTGCTCCGTCTCTCCGAAGCCGTACACGTACTCCGATGACAGTCGAGTCGACACCTGGATGAACATCTCTGAGAAGGTAAAACCTGGCAGCGAGGAGTCCCAGCTGAGAGAAGTGACAGAGGATTAAATCCATGAGAGATGGAGAGAGAAGGGGAATTATTCTCAAAGGGAGTTATCCACAATATGTTTGACACAAATAAGCATAATAACCAGCAGGAACTGCAGGCATCCCTTAGATGTACTTCATACATTTTAATTAGTAAAATCTCAACTGCCAACCGTCACCCCTGCTTAGAAATATATTTTGAAAAACTCGTGAGCGCTTCATGTGACACCATCGCTGAAAAAGAGGGAACTACTTTAGCTTCTGAGACACTGGCCAACTTTTCAACACATCTCATTGGGTAACAATGCCAGAACTGTGGAATCAGCATTGTGACTTTAATCTTAACGGGGGTTCCTTGCCTGGAAATAGTTTTTCACACAACGTCTCGCTTTATTTTGTGTTAATAGGACCATCTATACTACCTAAAATTGCAATGGTGAATCACCGCCCTAAAGGGGCTAATTAAGGAACGACAAGAGGGGATTACAGTGTGCTTGTTGAAACAATATGCTGGCTATGCATATTCATACCTTAATGATTAGGAGGGTATACCATGTATTAGAGGTCCTGCACACACAGTGATCAAACACATTATCTTTTGGCATGAATATGAAAAATTATTACACTATTATTTACAAAAAGGCATTTTAAGGGTTGAAATGAGCACCCCATCTACTGTTGCCCATTCGTGAACATCTCCAGGCAAACGCTGAGTCGACCAATTGGGATTTATCTATGTAATGGTGTGTTAAGTGTTACAAATGTAATTGTTAATGCCTTCTCATCAGTATTTGGCAATCCAACTGACCCAAGTCCCTAGATATCTGCCTTATGGCCATATTTTTACTTTTCAAAAATGATGCAATGGTTGGAGTTACAGTAGGTTTAGACCACGGCATGAGGCGAGCAGTGGATGCCAATAGGATATGGAAGGTAAACTACAGGGACAACATTTATTTTTACCGTGAGTATTACCCATAAACCCAACTCATCTGGCATAATTCATATCTTCTCTTTTCTAAGATTAATGTATTTGTATGCATGGTCCTCTTTGAAATAAATGCATAATCAATCTCAAACGTCCAGAACACATAATAACCATCACAGCCACCCTGTACAACTTGAACACTCACATCTTGGTTCCTGTGCTCTTCCTTATGACCTGGATGCCGAACGGGTTATCGGTAAATTGGACCTTGTAAAGCCTTTTGGTCTCGTCAGTCTCTGGAGTAGCGGGGACCGACAGCGGCACTGGAACCTCGTAACGCTCTGTGTTCGGGTCCCAGATCTGGAAAGGAGGGAACGTTTGGATGTCAGGTGTTTTTATGGATGAGGCAAGCAGGATGGATGTATACAAATAAAATAAAAAAAGTCAAATTCCAGCAGAAACAAGCACTCACCTTGAACTGCAGCATGTCACTCTTGTGGTAATGGATGTCAACGCGGAGTGTGTTGATGTCTGGAGACCCTGGGCGAACATTGCTCCGGTACTTGTTGTTCCGAGAGATGTCAAAGGTCATTCCTGAGTTTGTTTCTACTGATGTCGTCATGGTGTATCCATAGTCTTTTGGATAGAAGCACCATGGAGCACGTTCAATGTAGCTTGGCTAAATGAGAGAAAACAGCATATGAAATGTTAAAGATACCACATTTTTCAATTTTGTTGTGATAAAATGCAATAATGGAGCAAAGCCTGCAATCCAGTTCAGGCAGTCAACTCGAGCTACAACGATACATATAAGTGACATGCCTTAACCCTCACGTTTTATGAAAGTGTTTGTGGTTAAAGAAGATCAATGGTTACCACACGTTAACAAGATTTTCACGTTTTGTTCTACGACATAAAATATGTCTAAATAACCAACTCCAACAAATGTCATAAGCGTCTGTGTCATAAAAATGGCGGTTGCTAACAAGTAACCAACTAAACGTCATCGCGCAGACACCACTACGCCTCTACTTAGCTTAGCCATGCAACCGTGATGTTGTTTGTTCATAGCCAAAATTAGCTTGTTATGCTAACATGGATGTCGAGATTATCCTGTTGTCCAAAACATGTAATTTGTATAAACTTATGTTGGCCACAAAAAAAAATTGTCTGCGAGATCCCATTGCTTTTTGTCAGGGGAGCTCTTGCGAGGGTAACTTGTGGGTCGGCTAACAAAAATACGTCCCACACACCAGCATCCTGTAGGCTCTGGGTAAGTTATTTAAAAATGATGCGCCATTATTCTATGTCAAAATATCTACAAGGAGTGATGAGGCCGGGGCCTGGACGCCACACTCTAACTGCTGTTAACAACGATTCCATGTGAGCTGTCTGACTGGAATTAAATGTGCTATGTGAACCTCCTCTGTGTCACCCCTCACCTCCCAGATGCAGCCTCTGGCTCGGCACTTCGCCTCATCTGCGTTCTCGCCTGGATAGCAGTCGAAGCGCTGGTGCTCATTGGGCTCCACTTCCCACTCCACCAGATACGACTGCCCAACAATCAGCGAGAGGCCGGTCAGGAACAACACCTGTGATGAGGAGAAAGGGAGGATGGAGGTGGGAAAGAGTGGTGATTATCAAATCCAAAGATACAAATGCAAGCACATGCCCAGACAGACTTCCCAGAGACAAAGTGCGTACTTGACGTTGCATGTGCTTTCAATTAAGACACAGCTGTTAATTTTCCTCGCTGTTTCAACAGCCTCAGCCGGGAATTATGACTCATCCTTACAACAAATCTCAGGGTGCCCCTTTCACCCTAGACACCATCCGATACATCCTTCTTCATCAGTCTTTTTTTTAGTGTGTCCTTTAGTTTTGGAATCAGTCTCAAGCAAATATGTTGTGGAAAATAGCAGGGCACAACATAATTAAATAAAAAGAGCACAGGTATACAGGTATATATTAATAAACAAACAAACAAATAATAATACATTAATAATGAAATAAATTAATAAATAACTAAATAATAAATAAATGAATGAATGAAAGAAATTAATAAAACAAAATAGATAAATATAAAAATAAGGAATGAAAGAATTAATGAATACATCAATTATTAAATTAATTAACAAATAAATAAGTAATTAAATAAATAAATGAATTACTGACTGAAATAGTTAATACATAAATTAATGAATGAGTGAGTGAATAACTTAATAGTTAATAATAATAAATACATAGTTAATTAATTAAATAAATAAATAAATAAAGAGGGCACCGGGAACTGTATAGGGCATGCTATGAAGTGGCAACGGATTTTATTTTTTAAAGAAAGACTTACGCAATCATGTCCGAAAAATGTTTGAACACAGCACCCGTGATATGCTGGGAGATACTGTCCTCTTATATTCTGCTTTCTATATGGAACTAACTATGTTTGGAGGTTTTAAGGTTGTTCAAGGCCCATTCTGACTCGGCATACAAAGACTGATGGACATGACAGCACAGAGTTTAGGTTTAACAGCACATTTACCCTTCATCTCAGGAAATGATTACTCTTGAGAGTCATTTCATAAATGCATTCCTCTGTACGACCATATAGACCTTGAGAAGTGACACAAGCACAGCACAGACGCACACACATGAACACAGAGGATATACTGACGCCCACAGTAATACCTGACTGAACCTTCCTGGCACCTGATACACTCTTACCGTCTGCGTTTGACCCTGGGCGCTTACCGTAGGACTATTGCTCAGTAATTATTTCTCTTTTTGATAAACAGGCTCACAGGAAAGCTTTACAATCCTCTCGTAATGTAAATTGGTATCATCTCTTACACCTAGAGGCTAACCTTGAATGTACAATGGTTCAAGTCTTATTGAAATAAATGGTGGCTTTTCGCAAGAGTAGCCACCGCTATACTCATCCCTGTGCATCTGTCCCGCGTCAGTACATCAAGGTCTTCCTCACGGTGGAAATACGTCGACAAAATGATGGGGAGTTTTTCACATTTGATGACTATACAATTCTGGATTTATTTGTATTACTGACCTACTGATACAACCTACTAAAACATAGCCTTACTCAAGCAACCAACGGTATATTATAATTATATTATCTTGTTAATACCAATACACCTCTGTAAATATATTGTAATATCTTTACTTCAACTTCTTGTGTTTATGTTAATATATCTTTTTTTTTTTTATGAATCTTTTATTTTATATTATTCTAAAATGAAGCATCTTTTGCAAAACCCAATTTAGACCAGGATAAAGAAATATTCAGATTCCCAATCCCTAATGTGTTTCCGAAAAATACTAATATTACTAATACTACAAGAACAACTACTACTGCTACTACTACTAGTATAATAATAATAATAATAATAATACTGTTAATAATAATAATGATCATAATATTAATAATAGCAAACTGTAGTAATTATATCTTAATTAAAAACAATTAAATGTATTTGTTGCCACTTGAAAGCAGCAGAACAGGCTGTGAAACCACAGTATTATATTTCAGCAGACACATTATATTAAATAACATTACATAGCACTTAGCTGACACTTATCGAAAGCAACTTACAATAAACAGACATACAATGACATTAGCATTTATTCAATATTCTGAACTTGGGCACCTGAGGAATGTAAGTCCACACATCATGTCTCATTCTTTTTAGCTCTGATCTCGTCTCCATTTACGCTGGAGGGATATGACTAGCTGATAAAAGCCTGGCTATGATCGTTATTCTTTGCATTTTATTTAGTATTGTTAGTGTTTTAAGCAACATTTGTATGTTTTTCACCCCTGGCAAAAAAAACGATAGTTTCTCTTATCATGCATTTTCACAAGGCGATCACAATAAGTGTGAGCTTACCTTCTTGGCTGCATCGTAGGTGACGTTGGCTACTGCGGTGGTTGAATTTCCGACGAGAGTGTAAGTGACAGACGTGGGAGGTCCCGCCACACCAAGGACGGTGATGTTCTCAAAAAAGAGGTTGTTTGGGTCCTTGTAACCAGCACGGTTCACCTGCATAGACAGCACTCCCTACAGCGCAGAGGACACACACAGTTAATGCCTTATTTGCAGAGCTGGAGAGTAACTAAGTGCATTTACTCAAGTATTATCATACTAATCAAGTACTTTATAGTTCTGCTCCACAATGATTCATTCAAAATTGTATTTTAAGACATATAAAGCCTTAAAAAAAAAAATTATATACACATATGTTAATAATTAAGTTTTTGGGAGAAGGGGTGGGATTAAATAAGTGTAAACTTCTTCCCACCCCTTTTTAGATGAGTAATTAAGTAGATAATTTGTTTATACATGACTTAGAATCAGTAATATTTGTGTATATCAATTTGACACTGCTTAATTTTAAAATGTTAAATGTGTGTATTATTGTTTTACACATTCAAAATAAATCAAAATAAACCGGCCTATTCTTCCTTAAAAAATATTGTACTTGCTGCAATTTCAAATAGCACTAATCCATATTGCGATTTGGACGAACATTGGATAAATCGTGCAACCCTAGTACTGGTAGTAAGCATCTCCTATAAACACCCAGTGCTCCTGTCCATCACTCAAACAGAAGTTCAGAATGATTTCCCGTCTGTCGCCCCTCCCCCACCCAAGTCTAATGATATCATTCAGGGAGAACATCATTGTCATACATCAAACATGCATGGCAATTTGGCAGTGCTGTGTGAAGCAGGAACACGGCGTGCTTGATCCAACAAAGCTCCAGCAGCGTGACGTCAATCAATTATGCTTATGTGTTGAGGGAAGTCTAAAGTCTGTGGTGGATTCAAACTTTGAACTTGAATTAACGTAATCAGGTTATAAAAACAAAAGGTAACTGTATTCCTTTCCAGTTACATAAAAACAAGACGATATCAGATTACTGTTACAATCCTAAAAATTGGGGATTACTAGCAGGTTTAAATTGTAAGTAATCCAAAAAAGCATATTGTGTTTGTTGGAAAAGGTTCAGATTTAGTTTCTTCTCTTCATCATGAAAGGAGCGTCCACGTCGCGGCCCTGGGAGTATTGACGAAATCGACAAGATCGACAATATCAACTAGATCGACTAGATACTGCTAATCCTATCACCACCACAAGCAACAGTTACAAGCTACAAAACAG